AGAGCTGTATATGTAGAGATGTATACGTAGAGATGTATACGTAGAGCTGTATATCTAGAGCTGTATATGTAGAGCTGTATATGTAGAGCTGTATATGTAGAGCTGTATACGTAGAGCTGTATATGTAGAGATGTATACGTAGAGCTGTATATCTAGAGCTGTATACGTAGAGCTGTATACGTAGAGCTGTATACGTAGAGCTGTATACGTAGAGCTGTATTTGTAGAGCTGTATACGTAGAGCTGTAGAGCTGTATACGTAGAGCTGTATTTGTAGAGCTGTATACGTAGAGCTGTATTTGTAGAGCTGTATACGTAGAGCTGTATATGTAGAGCTGTATACGTAGAGCTGTATACGTAGAGCTGTATATTTAGAGCTGTATACGTAGAGCTGTATACGTAGAGCTGTATACGTAGAGCTGTATACGTAGAGCTGTATATGTAGAGCTGTATACGTAGAGCTGTATACGTAGAGCTGTATACGTAGAGCTGTATATCTAGAGCTGTATATGTAGAGCTGTTAACGTAGAGCTGTATACGTAGAGCTGTATACGTAGAGCTGTATACGTAGAGCTGTATACGTAGAGCTGTATACGTAGAGCTGTATGTAAGCTGTAAGTAGCTGTATACGTAGAGCTGTATACGTAGAGCTGTATATCTAGAGCTGTATACGTAGAGCTGTATACGTAGAGCTGTATATCTAGAGCTGTATACGTAGAGCTGTATATGTAGAGCTGTATATGTAGAGCTGTATATGTAGAGCTGTATATGTAGAGCTGTATACGTAGAGCTGTATATGTAGAGCTGTATACGTAGAGCTGTATACGTAGAGCTGTATATCTAGAGCTGTATATCTAGAGCTGTATATCTAGAGCTGTATATGTAGAGCTGTATATGTAGAGCTGTATACGTAGAGCTGTATACGTAGAGCTGTATATCTAGAGCTGTATATGTAGAGCTGTATACGTAGAGCTGTATACGTAGAGCTGTATATCTAGAGCTGTATATGTAGAGCTGTTAACGTAGAGCTGTATACGTAGAGCTGTATATGTAGAGCTGTATACGTAGAGCTGTATATGTAGAGCTGTATATGTAGAGCTGTATACGTAGAGCTGTATACGTAGAGCTGTATATGTAGAGCTGTATACGTAGAGCTGTATATGTAGAGCTGTATATGTAGAGCTGTATATCTAGAGCTGTATACGTAGAGCTGTATACGTAGAGTTGTATATGTAGAGCTGTATACGTAGAGCTGTATATGTAGAGCTGTATATGTAGAGCTGTATACGTAGAGCTGTATATGTAGAGCTGTATACGTAGAGCTGTATATGTAGAGCTGTATATGTAGAGCTGTATACGTAGAGCTGTATATGTAGAGCTGTATATCTAGAGCTGTATACGTAGAGCTGTATATCTAGAGCTGTATATGTAGAGCTGTATACGTAGAGCTGTATATGTAGAGCTGTATATCTAGATTTGTATACGTAGAGTTGTATATGTAGAGCTGTATACGTAGAGCTGTATACATAGAGCTGTATATGTAGAGCTGTATATGTAGAGCTGTATACGTAGAGCTGTATATGTAGAGCTGTATACGTAGAGCTGTATATTTATTCTACCATGACAAAACAAGTAAAATAACAGTATAACCACATTCGGGTTGTTAGCCTTATAAATGTATAACTCTTCACCTGGCTGTTAAAGTCATCCCTGAGGTAGACAAGACACACTAAAAGGCTCCAGAACATCCCCTCACAAGTTCTGTATGTGCCTCTCTAACATAACAAGGGTACTAGTGCTGTGAGGACATAACATCCCATCCGCTGTCTGGTAATAGTCCTACATGGGCTTCCTAATGTCCTAGTCTGGTCTAACTTTAGCTTGGCTAATGGACAACCAGCGGATGCTCTGATGCTCTGAAAGGGGAGCAGCCAGCACACACACACACACACACACACACACACACACACACACACACACACACAGGAAGAGCTCCCAGCGCTCTCTCTGCCTTCGTTACTTCCACTGTGTGAGTCGCCGTCATCTGTCACACAGGTCTGTGTGTGTGTGTGTGTGTGTGTGTGTGTGTGTGTGTGTGTGTGTGCGTGCAACATATTATGCAACATCCAATATAAGTCCATGAGAATGTGTGTTTATGACTATAGAGGAACATCCAGCCACTCTGTTTGCTAAAAGGAATCTGAGTCTAATAAAAATGGATACCCTCTGAAACCTGGAGCTTATAAAGCATTATAAAGCATTTTAAAGCATTATAAAGCATTATATCGATTGGAGGAGCTCTCAGTAACACTGTCTCTGTCAGGTCTCAGACTGAATGGAAGTGACAGACCAGATACGTACTACACAGACACTAGACTTTTGGGGTTTGGGTTAAGGGATTCAAAATGGATTTGAGGGAATCAAAATGGGACAATGACCTCTGATGGCTTGCCTGTGAGTCATTTGGCTATGTGATGCCAGAGAGGAAGAGGCAAAGCGAGAGGGAAAACTGGGCCCAAATTCTGTCATTTTACATCGGAGTTGCGCCTGTTGTTCACATGCTTATCTGCCCTCTCATTGGCTAGAATGGTCCCAACTGATCTTGCCTCCTCCCGATTTAATTCAATTTTTGAAGACATTTATTTTCATTGTTAGAGTGGCCACTTGAGTATCTGGTCAATATAATGGACAATCTGTGGTGATGCTCTCTCTCTCTCTCTCTTTCCCTCTCTCTCTGCCTTTCTCCTCTAGTTCCAGAGCTAACTCAGTCAGGCTTATACTCTCTCCCTCTCTTCCTCTCTCCACCGTCTCTTCGTGGTTCTTCTTCGTAGCTCAGTTGGTAGAGCATGGTGCTTGTAACGCCAGAGTAGTGGGTTCGATTCCTGGAAATATTGGTATTGTGTAGTGTTAGGTCGAACCCTGCGGCCTGTCTGATGAGTGGCTGCGGTAAACTCTGGATGGGGCCTGCTCACAGCTATGCATGCTGGGAATCTATCGCCGCCGACCGCACAGTAAAAGGTCCAAGCAGGCTCTAACCCTAACCCAACGCTGTAAAACAGGTCTGTACTGGGTCATACACCACCACACCAGCACAGTAAAAGGTAGGCAGGCTCTAACCCTAACCCAACGCTGTAAAACAGGTCTGTACTGAGCCAGCTCTGTTACCGTCATCTTCTCTTTCTCCTTTTCCTTTTTCCACATTCACAGTCACCCGATCTTACTCTTTCTCTCAATTCCTCTCTCTCTGTTCTCAAAGCGCTAATTTTTTCAATCTGTCGATATTCAATCTGTCAGGGTGGTTTGGTGGAGAGGGGGAGAGGGGGATGGAGGGATGGAGGAATGGAGGGATGGAGAGATGGAGGGATGGAGGGATGGATGGATGGAGGGATGCAGAGATGGAGGGATGGAGGGGGGGTGTATGATTCACTCCACACGTGCAAATATGGCATGCCTGTCTCTGTGTGCTCGGCTGCCAAGGGAAAAACCGTCTCTGAAGTTTAACAGAATCCAGGACATAAAGAAGAAGAAGAAAACTCTGCTCTTTTTCTTTTTAACACAACTGGGGGATGAATGAAAATTAGAAAGAGAGAGAGGAAGAGAAGAGGAGGAGGAAAGAGAGAAGACCCTTTTAGAAGAAGATGAAATAAATAACTAATAGAGTTCCGTAAGAGAACCCTGAGAGTATTCTATATTCTAGAACTCTGGGCCTGTTCTGTTCAGGTCAACGCCCAGTCTAGTTGTATCCATGGCAGCTGAGGAGAGGTTATTCCTTTCATTCTAATGTCTAATTGATGGATTAATGGTCTCCGAACTCTGGTTGGTCAGTTGTAGCCTCCACCCTGGCGCCTGCCGGCCTGTCTCGAGGACCCCTCGGCCCCAGGTCTGGGTCTGGCTGTAGGGCTGTAGGACCGGAGACTGGAGACAGGCGTTCTCCTGGCCACCTAAAGCCAGCTCCAAAGTCAACAGCGGCTGTCCTGAGTGTGGCTTTACTGTACTGCTTATGAGTGTGAGAAAGGCAAACACATCCCTCATAAACCCCATACCCTGTTCACCTCTGCAATTAGGGTGAAACGTGAGAGGCTCGTTGTAGGAGCTGGCAGAGATGGGAGAACAGGAAGCGAAAAGAGGAAAGAGAGGATGGAGGATGAAGAGGAAGAAGCAGAGGATTATTGCTCTCTAGCCACCTAATGATGTCCTAGTCTAACCTATCAAAGCCCCCCCAGCAAACCGGGATCATTCCCAGAACATTAGCTAAGATTCCCATTAAGTTCTAGTTAGGGTTTTATTTAAAATCAGGATGATAACATCCCAAAAACAAAGAGATAGTGTTTTTAATAACAAAATATTTGTATTATATAGGTTTACAGGTAATGTAATAACACAATGTACCAGTAATGTTTTCCCAGCAAAACCAAAATTGGTTCTGTGAAAGTTCCCAGAAAATGTGTTAGGTCGCGGTAAATGATCTCATGGATTTCACATGACTGGGGAATACAGATATGCATCTGTTAGTCACATTTTCTGACAGTGAGCACTTAGATATGGTAATTTTCACGTTTTCATTCTTTCATAGAATGTTTGGGAATGACTTATAGTAAGGCATTTGTGAAAATTCTACAGCAATATAGAGTGGGAAAGCAGCCGTGCGTTTGGACAATTAATAGACACTGCAGTAAATAAAACCTAATAAAAATGTGTCAGTCTTGTCCAGGACCGGACTCTACACAGACCGGTGCGCCACAGCCAATCAGTACTACAGCAGGCCTATATGCAAATAAGCCATTTTCCACATTTTCTACTTTGATTGTATTGACATTCCCAGCCTTAGTTACATTCATCCATTTTTGTCGAAAATATTGAGTCATTGAAACTGAAACAGTGCATCCCGAATGGCTGGAGGCGGCAAACAATGTACCAGCTGTGATTTACAACCTGATAGTAATATTTGTTGGACTACCAAGAAATGTATAGGTGAATTATATTAATCATGCATTGAACTGCATCCATCTATTCTGCTAACAATGTCTTACTCTATGTCATGGAATTTTATAGTCAAATATCACTTTTTTTTTTAAACCTTGCAGCATGAACTGGGAATTTTATATATTTTTTACTGATATTACCTTTCTGAGTACGCCATTTCTGAAAAGTGAGTTAGGAAGGACGCCTGTATCTTTGTAGTGACTGGGAGTATTGATACACCAAGAGTAATTTATAACTTCACCATGCTAAAAGGGATATACAGTTGAAGTCGTAAGTTTACATACACCTTAGCCAAATACATTTAAACTCAGTTTTTCACAATTCTTGACATTTAATCCTAGTAAAAATTCCCTGTCTTAGGTCAGTTAGGATCACCACTTTATTTTAAGAATGTGAAATGTCAGAATAATAGTAGAGAGAATTATTAATTTCAGCTTTTATTTCTTTCATCACATTCCCAGTGGGTCAGCAGTTTACATACAAGCAATTAGCATTTGGTAGCATTGCCTTTAAATTGTTTCACTTGGGTCAAACGTTTCGGGTAGCCTTCCACAAGCTTCCCACAATAAGTTGGGTGAATTTTGGCCCATTCCTCCTGACAGAGCTGGTGTAACCGAGTCAGGTTTGTTGGCCTCCTTGCTTGCACACGCCTTTTCAGTTCTGCCCACAAATGTTCTATAGGATTGAGGTCAGGGCTTTGTGATGGCCACTCCAATACCTTGACTTTGTTGTCCTTTAGCCATATTGCCACAACTTTGGAAGTATGCTTGGGGTCATTGTCCATTTGGAAGACCCATTTGCGACCAAGCTTTAACTTCCTGACTGATGTCTTGAGATGTTGCTTCATTATATCCACATAATTTTCCTTCCTCATGATGCCATCTATTTTGTGAAGTGCACCAGTCCCTCCTACAGCAAAGCACCCCCACAGCATGATGCTGCCACCCCTGTGCCTCACGGTTGGGATGGGGTTCTTCGGCATGCAAGCCTTCCACCTTTTTCCTCCAAACATAACGATGGTCATTATGGCCAAACAGTTCATTCAGTTTCATCAGACCAGAGGACATTTCTCCAAAAAGTCTGATCTTTGTCCCCATGTGCAGTTGCAAACCGTAGTCTGGCTTTTTTATGACGGTTTTGGAGCAGTGGCTTCTTCCTTGCTGAGCGGCCTTTCAGGTTATGTCGATATAGGACTCGTTTTACTGTGGATGTAGATACTTTTGTACCTGTTTCCTCCAGCATCTTCACAAGGTCCTTTGCTGTTGTTCTGAGATTGATTTGCACTTTTCGCACCAAAGTACGTTCATCTCTAGGAGACAGAACGCGTCTCCTTTCTGAGCGGTATGACGGCTGCGTGGTCCCATGGTGTTTATACTTGCGTACTATTGTTTGTACATATGAACATGGTACCTTCAGGCGTTTGGAAATTGCTCCCAAGGATGAACCAGAGGTCTACACATTTTTTTCTGAGGTCTTGGCTGATTTCTTTTGATTTTCCCATGATGTCAAGCAAAGAGGCACTGAGTTTGAAGGTAGGCCTAGAAATACATCCACAGGTACACCTCCAATTGACTCAAATGATGTCAATTAGCCTATCAGAAGCTTCTAAAGCCATGACATCATTTCCTGGAATTTTCCAAGCTGTTTAAAGGCACAGTCAACTTAGTGTATGTAAACTTCTGACCCACTGGAATTGTGATACAGTGAATTATAAGTGAAATAATCTGTCTGTAAACAATTGTTGGAAAATGTACTTGTGTCATGCACAAAGTAGATGTCCTAACCGACTTGCCAAAACTATAGTTTGTTAACAAGACATTTGTGGAGTGGTTGAAAAAACGAGCTTTAATGACTCCAACCTAAGTGTATGTAAACTTCCGACTTCAACTGTATATTGAAGTCGGAGGCATTGGAAAACCTCCCTGGTCTTTGAACTTGAATCTGTGTTTGAAATTCACTACTCGACTGAGGGACCTTACAAATAATTATTGCATACAGAGTCCATGCAACTTATTATGTGACTTGTTAAGCAGATTTTTACTCCTGAACTTATTTAGGCTTGCCTTAACAAAGGGGTTGAATACTTATTGACGCAAGACATTTCAGCTTTTCATTTGTAATTAATTTGTAAAAATATAAAACATTGACAATATTGGGTATTGTGTGTAGTCCAGTGTCACAAAATCTCAATTTAATCTATTTTAAATTCAGGCTATAACGAAACAAAATGTGGAAAAGGTCAAGGGGTGTGAATACTTTCTGAAGGCAATGTATCTATTGTCATGTCCCCACAATGTTACCACAACCTGAATAAACATTCTGGGAACCTTTTAAAGAACAGACTAAATGTGTTCTGGGAACGTTCTTGTAACATCAGGTGAATGTTTTTTGTACCCTAAAAGAAACATTGTAGAATCATCTGCCCAACTGGACAGTTTTTGTGTTTTGGGAACATATCTTTTGCAATGTCCCCACAATGCCCTCACCAGACTATTCCCACAACCAAATGAAACATTCTCGGAACCTTTAAAGAACAGATTAAATGTGTTCTCTGAACGTTCTACAACATCAGGCGAATGTTTTATACAAACATTCTATAATCATCACCATGACTGGACAGTTTTTGTGTTATGAGAACATTTGCCGCGACCTAATAAATGTTCGGTGAACTCTCACATAACCAATTTTGGTTTGCTGTGCCTCCTCCTTCCCTGTCCTACATCAAACCCATTCGAAGAGACTGAGCTAACGATGGAACAACGGGTGTTATCTTTCCAAATCTGTTCTGTCTCCATCACACACGGGAAATATAGACATGCCTGAGGGTCGGGGCCAAACCCCTGGACTATTTCAGAGGGGAGACTGGACCCAGAACCATGAGACCATGAAGCCTCCATGAGGCCCAGTGATCGGTCTGAGTTTGGCCAGGGACAGAGGCACATTGCTGGGCTCGGTTTGGCAGGAGGAGTGGGGCCCCACTGGTGGAGGGAAGGTGGGCTGGAGGGTTGGAGAAATGGAAGGATGAAGGGATGGAGGGGTCTCCCGCAGGCCAGAGCATGGGCCTGTACAGTGTGTCCTCAGGCTGGGGGGAGGCAGGGGGAAGACAGGAGGAGGCAGGGGGAGACAGTGAGTGACAGGGGGAGGCTGGGGGAAGACAGGTGGAGGCTGGGGGAGACAGGTGGAGGCTGGGGGAGACAGGTGGAGGCTGGGGGAGACAGGGGAAGCTGGGGGAGACCGGGGGAAGACAGGAGGAGGCAGGGGGAGACAGTGAGTGACAGGGGGAGGCTGGGGAGAATGGGGGAAGACAGGTGGAGGCTGGGGGAGACGGGGGGGCTGGGGGAGACAGGGGAGGCTGGGGGAGACAGGGGGAGGCTGGGGGAGACAGGTGGAGGCTGAGGGAGACAGGGGAGGCTGGGGGAGACAGGGGGAAGACAGGAGGAGGCAGGGGGAGACAGTGAGTGACAGGGGGAGGCTGGGGAGAATGGGGGAAGACAGGTGGAGGCTGGTGGAGGCAGGGGAAAGACAGGTGGAGGCTGGGGGGAGACAGGGGGAGGCTGGGGGAGGCAGGGGAGAGACAGGGGGAGGCAGGGGAGAGACAGGGGGAGGCAGGAGAGAAACAGGGGAGGCTGGGGGAGGCAGGGGAGAGACAGGGGGAGGCAGGGGAGAAACAGGGGAGGCTGGGGGAGGCAGGCGAGGCAGGGGAGGCAGGGAGAGACAGGGGGAGGCTGGGGGAGTCAGGGGAGAAACAGGGGAGAAAATGACCAGCAGGGACTCTCGGCTTGGACTGATGAACGGGTTCACTCTAACCACAGCATGTGCTGAACCAACGCACACACTACTGAACGTCATTGACCAGGGTCGAAAGGAACATCCAACATCCAACCCAATGAGCAATATAAACAGAAAAGAAAACACAGAACAGACCACAGGACGGATGGAGGCTGAAAGAGACAGAACATGACAGAAAGAGAGAAAGAGTGACATAGCGCCAGAGAAAACAGTGAAACCACAGCAAAGTGGGGGCTGATCGTTGTGGCATTGCTGTCCCAATGAGGACTCAGGAATAATAACACTGTGTGTTCCAGGTTCTGGACTCTAACAGATATAGGATGCATCCCAAATGGCTCCCTATAGTGCCTAGGGGTACTGGTCAAAAGTAGTGCACTATAAAGGCAATAGGGTGCTATTTGTGGCGCAGAAATAAACTAACTATCCCTGGTGGAGCTTTGTACTGTAACACAACCTGGAGAGCTGGACTGAAGGGTACAGCCAAACCCAACACACACACAGACACAGACACACACACACTACCTAGCTAACACCAGGGCTTATCACTGTATTAAGTTTCCCTCAGACCACCTTTTACTAATGAGAGGGCAGGGCCCAGTTTCCATCCTGTATCCCCCCCAATGGTCAGACCGTGGACAAACTACAGTGTCTGTGATGGTCAAGGAGGATGTGTGTGTTTCTTTAGCTGTTCAGTTCTGGGTTCTGGTTCCGCTGGGTTCTAGTGGGCTCTAGAGGGTTCTGGTTCATAGGTTCATGTCACTACATATTTTTCCATCTTGTAAATTCCTTCCCCTCTATAACAACTGGACCGGTTACGGACAGTTGAATTTATCCTACGAACCCAGCCCACTCCATCCCTCCCTCCATCCTTCCTTCTAAACCTCCCTCCCTTCATCCCTTCATCCATCCGTCCAAAAATCACTATGTGGGAACGGAAAGGAGGTCATGGGAGTGGTGGAGGGAGTAGGAGAGGGGGGAGGTGAGTGCGGTTTGGGAGCAGGAACCTGAGTCGCCTGTTTTACCTGAGAGGAATCTCAGATATTCTCAAAAAGGGAACCCGAGGGGCTTCAAGCAACAGGGACGGGGGGAGGGGGGGGAAAAGGGTGGGAGGAGAAACCTTTATGGGGAAATAAAAGGGAAAAAAAAAGAAAGAAAAAAAGAAGGGGGCGGGGGGGGAAAATTTTTAGGGGGGGTTGGGGGCTCAAAAAAGGGGTTTTGGGGGGGCGGCCCTTTTGGGGGTCGGGTTTTTAAAAAATAAAGAGATAGGGAATTAATGGAAATAAGAGAAAAATGAAGGATATTTAAAAATTCTCCTTCCCCTCTTTCTCGTTTCCCCCTTTTCCGTCTCTTTCCCCTCTTTTCTCTCTCCCCCCTTTTCGCGGGGCTCTCCGCCCTTCTCTCATTTCCTCCCTCGCCTTCTTTCTCGCCTCGCGCCCCTTCTTTCCCCTTTTCCCCTCCTTCCCTCTTCCCTCTCTCCCTCCCTCTCCTCTCTTCCTTTGCCTCCTCCGTTCTCCCTTCTTCCTCTTTCTTCTCCCTCCACCTTTTCCTCCCTCTCCCTTTCTCCTCCTCTCCCTTCCCCCTTGCTCTTTCCCCCTCCCCCCTCTCCCTTCTCCCCTTTGTCCCCCTCCCCCTCCCTGGGGGCCCTTTTTCCCTCCCGGGCCCTCCCCCCTGGGCCCGGTCTTCCCCCTTGGGTCCCCCCTTTCCCCCTTTGTTCCCCCTTTTTTTGGGGCCCCTTTTCCCCTTTGGGGGTTTTCTCGGGGGGTTTTTTTTTTTTCTCTTTTCCCCCCCCTTTTTTTCCCTTTTGGGCCCTTTTACCCCCCTTAAACCCCCCTTTCGGGTTTGGGAAAAACCCCGGGGCCCAAACCCCCTTCCCTTTTCCCCCCCCTTTTTCCCTTTTTCCCTCCTTCCCATCCCCCTCCTTTTTCTTAAAAAAAAAACTTTTTCCCCCCAACCCTCCCTTAAAAAAATTGGGGCAACCTTCTTTTTCTTTCCCCTTTTCACGCCCTTTTTGGGTTTTAAACGGGGAAAGGGGGCCCCGGTTTTAAAAAAAAAAGGGTTAACAAATTAACCCCCCCTTCAAACTCGGGGGGGTAGGGGGTGGGGAGGGCCCAACCCCCCCCACCGGGGAAAACAGGGGGAAGAGGGGAAAAGGGCCCTTAATTTTAACCCTTCACCTGCCTGGGGAGATACAGGGGGAGGGGGAGGGGGGAAAAAAAAGGGCCCCCCTAAAACCCCCTTTACCTGCCTGGGAGATACGGGAAGGGGTAGAGGGCCCTAACCCTTTACCCAAAAAAAAAACCCTAAACCCCCCCGCCTGGGGAGATACAGGGGGAGGGGGAGGGGCCCCTAAAACCCTTTTTACCCCCTGGGAATCAGGGGAAGAGGAGAGGGCCCTAACCCTTCACCTGCCTGGAGAGAGTACAGGGGGAGAGGGAGGAGAGGGCCCTAACCCTTCACCTGCCTGGAGAGATACAGGGGGAGAAGGAGGAGAGGGCCAAACCTTCACCTGCCTGGAGAGATACAGGGGGAGAAGGAGGAGAGGGCCCTAACCCTTCAACCTGCTGGAGAGATACAGGGGGGAGAGGGACGGAGAGGGCCCTAAACCTTCACCTGCCTGGAGAGATACAGGGGGAGAGGAGGAGAGGGCCCTAACCCTTCACCTGCCTGGAGAGATACAGGGGGAGAAGGAGGAGAGGGCCCTAACCCTTCACCTGCCTGGAGAGATACAGGGGGAGAAGGAGGAGAGGGCCCTAACCCTTCACCTGCCTGGAGAGATACAGGGGGAGAAGGGAGGAGAGGGCCCTAACCCTTTCACCTGCCTGGAGAGATACAGGGGGAGAGGGAGGAGAGGGCCCTAACCCTTCACTGCCTGGAGAGATACAGGGGGAGAAGAGGGAGAGGGCCCCTAACCCTTCACATGCCTGGAGAGATACAGGGGGAGAAGGAGGAGAGGGCCCTAACCTTCACCTGCCTGGAGAGATACAGGGGGAGAAGGAGGAGAGGGCCACTAACCCTTCACCTGCCTGGAGAGATACAGGGGAGAAGGAGGAGAGGGCCCTAACCCTTCACCTGCCTGGAGAGATACAGGGGGGAGAGGGAGGAGGAGGGCCCCTAACCCTTCACCTGCCTGGAGAGATACAGGGGGAGAGAGGGAGGAGAGGGCCCTAACCTTCACCTGCCTGGAGAGATACAGGGGGAGAGGGAGGAGAGGGCCCTAACCCTTCACCTGCCTGGAGAGATACAGGGGGAGAGGGAGGAGAGGGCCCTAACCCTTCACCTGCCTGGAGAGATACAGGGGGAGAGGGAGGAGAGGGCCCTAACCCTTCACCTGCCTGGAGAGATACAGGGGGAGAGGGAGGAGAGGGCCCTAACCCTTCACCTGATGTGAAGTGGAACAGTGGACAGGGCTGAGTGGGGCTACAGTCCTGTTATAGCACCTGATCACTCAAGACTACAGTAGGGTGTGTGTATGCTTAGGCCAAGTACACACACACACACACACACACACACACACACACACACACACACACACACACACACACACATAGGCCCAGCTGGCAAAATGTCCAGACACCCAGTCAAGACATTCCTCCAGCCCAGTCCAGGCCATCCCAGTTAAGTCCAGTCCAGACATTCCCCCAGCCCATCCCAGTTAAGTCCAGTCCAGACATTCCCCCAGCCCAGCCCAGTTTAGTCCAGTCCAGACATTCCCCCAGCCCAGTCCAGCCCAGCCCAGTTTAGTCCAGTCCAGATATTCCCCAAGCAGTCCAGCCCAGCCCAGTGAAGTCCAGTCCAGACATTCCCCCAGCCCAGCCCAGTTAAGTCCAGTCAAGACATTCCACCAGCCCAGTTTAGTCCAGTCCAGACATTCCTCCAGCCCAGCCCAGTTAAGTCCAGTCCAGACATTCCACCAGCCCAGCCCAGCCCAGTTTAGTCCAGTCCAGACATTCCTCCAGCCCAGCCCAGCACCAGTTAAGTCCAGTCCAGACATTCCTCCAGCCCAGTCCAGCCCAGCCCAGTCAAGTCCAGTCCAGACATTCCACCAGCCCAGCCCAGCTCCAGCCCAGCCCAGCCCAATTTAGTCCAGTCCAGACATTCCACCAGCCCAGTCCAGCCCAGCCCAGTGAAGTCCAGACATTCCACCAGCCCAGCCCAGCCCAGATCAGTCTTTATCACCAGTTGTTGTTAGGGGAGCTGGGGATGTAGAGGGATCTGATAGTTACCAAGTGCTATAGTACACTAGACTGCCTGAGTGTGTGTGTGTGTGTGTGTGTGTGTGTGTGTGTGTGTGTGTGTGTGTGTGTGTGTGTGTGTGTGTGTGTGTGTGTGTGTGTGTGTGTGTGTGTGTGTGTGTGTGTGTGTGTGTGTGTGTGTGTGTGTGTGTGTGAAACAGGTCATAAATATCCAGGAATGTTCCTATTTGGTGTTTTCCAACCCGGTCAGCCATCTGCTTGGCTACAGAGCAGTTTCCCAATGAACAGCTGGCCCCCCTTATTCGCTACAGACAGACTCCTTGGCTGTGTCCCAAATGGCACCCTATCCCCTATATAGTGCACTACTTTTGACCAGAACCTATGGTATGAATGGAGTAGGGTGCCATTGTGGGAACGCAGACTGTTACTCATGTTTTCTATTACCACCAAACACTCTTCATAGCAGAGTTGGTAGGATGAGAAGGCTAACCCTTTTACAGGGTTCACCAGTAAAGACCACATACTTATCATGGCTGAGACTGACTCCAGATCAATGGGGTTTGGGCGAAAGTGTAACAGATTAGGGTGTTATGAAGGATAAGACCTGATTCAGAATCAGGTGTAAGCCAGATCAAAAAGCTGTCTCTGACTCCAATTCAGATTAGGGTTTATGATCTGAAGTACAGTACAGTATTCAAACAGCGAACTCTGGAACTGTGCACTGTGCTGGATGTTTAATCTGCATGGCCTGTGAGGAAACTACGCAGCAATAGGACAGCGTGAGAGAGGGGACATTGTCTAGGGAGAGAGGGAGAGAGAGGGAGAGAGAGGAGAGAGGGGAGAAAGAGGAGAGAGAGGATAGAAGAGAGAGGGGACACTGTCTAGGAGAGAGGAGGAGAGATGTAGGGAGAGGAGCAGGGGGAACGTTAGGAGAGAGGGAGAGAGGGGAGAGGGGAGAAAGAGGAGAGAGGGGAGACTGTCTAGGGAGAGAGAGGAGAGAAGAGAGAGGGGAGACTGTCTAGGGAGAGAGGAGGAAGGAGGGACTGTTAGGGAGGAGACGAGGAGAGAGGGAGAGACTGTCTAGGAGAGGAGAGGGGGAGACTGTCTAGGGGAGAGGAGAGGAGAGGACTGTTAGGGAGAGAGGAGAGACTGTTAGGAGAGAGGGGAGACTCTAGGGAGAGAGGAGATGTAGGGAGAGAGGGAGACTCTAGAGGGGAGAGGGAGGAGGGGGACTGTCTAGGGAGAGAGGGAGACTGAGATAGGGAGATGGAGAGGAGAGAGGAGAGAGGGAGACTGGGAGAGAGGGGAGACTGTCTAGGGAGAGAGGGGAGACTGTTTAGGGAGAGAGGGGAGACTGTCTAGGGAGAGAGGGGAGACTGTCTAGGGAGAGAGGGGAGACTGTCTAGGGAGAGAGGGGAGACTAGGGAGAGAGGGGACTGTCCAGGGAGAGAGGGGGGAGACTAGGGAGAGAGGAGAGACTGTTTAGGGAGAGAGGGGAGACTGTCTAGGGAGAGAGGGGAGACTGTCTAGGGAGAGAGGGGAGACTGTCTAGGGAGAGAGGGGAGACTGTCTAGGGATGTGTGTATGTCACGTCAGTACAAAGAGGGGAGTAGGGTGGTGGTGGCATTCTAGGATGTGAGAGCTGCCTACAGTGCTGGGGTCAGGCAAGGGCATTTCATGTGCAGTACACACTCTTAGAAGTACACCCCCCTCCTCCCCCCTTCATGTCTCTTGCAGCCTTTGTCAACATTTCCAGAGGGATTCTCCCAGGAACAAAAGCTCTGATGACAGCCTTCTAATCTACCCTATACTGCAGGATTACACCCCAGCCCTTCAAACCCTCATTCCACAGAATCCTCTATTATGTGGCCTCTGTATGTCCTCTTCTCCAACATTAACATGTTCCTCTCCTCTAGATAAAACCATTTAGTGGTTCAACACAAGAGAGCCCTCTGTATGTCCTCTTCTCCAACATTAACATGTTCCTCTCCTCTAGATAAAACCATTTAGTGGTTCAACACAAGAGAGACCTCTGT